AAGGAAGGCGAAGAGAAGGAGGAGGACGGCGGCCGGGGAGAGCCGGGAGCCCGCGGCCCGGACCCGAGTCCGCCGCCAGCCCCGCCAAGCCCGGCCGGGGGCGGAGGCCTCCATCCACACGCCGCCGCCACCTGCCGACCGTCAGCGCAGAAGGTCGTTACGCTCCGCGCGCCCACCCGCCGCCGGAAGTTGGCGGGCGGCGGACCGGAAGGACGGACTGGGTGGACTCTCAGACACTTCCGCCGGGGCCGTGGGCAGGTGTTGGATTGCGGGAATGGCGAGAGGGAGGGGGATGGACGCAGGTTGAATCTCAGCCACAGATAAGGAGAATTTATGAGTAAATACACGTATAGCCCTCAGAGGATTACTTGGATGTATTCATGTCAGAAACTAGCACCATTGTAGATGTGTGGGACTTAATTGGGACAGAAATGCTTTGCACACTGGTGGGAATTTAACCCTTTAGTTCCGCAGAGAAGCCTGGTAGAAGAACCGAGGAAACTACCGAAGAGGTAGCTGACATCCATGGAATATTCAGCCTGGAAGACCATCTTTCAGAAAAACATAAATTACCTGTCTATTGTGGGAGACCGAAATATGTCTGTCGCAGGATTGTTAAAATGAAGACAGAAGCAGATATAGGGGAGCTCTTTGCCCTCTACTTAAAATCAAGAAAGATTTACAAAGACTCAAGTTCCCCTGCTTCTTCTCCCTACCGGAAGAACCAGTTAATCCTTGAAAATAGCCTTAGACTCTGATCAGCCTGGTGGTGATTCCAGAGGAATGAACAAACTTTACTAAATAACGGTTATCTGCATTTGTTTGACTTCTCCCCAACCCCCAAAGCTGCTACTTAAAGATACGAGAAGTGTTATTCCATTATCTTGTCACCTTTTAAAAAATGTACTGTTCTTTGTTGAAGATGCCATATCAACTGGAATTCAAAGCCACCTCTCTGAGAAGTACTCCTATTCTGGGTGACCCCCATGTATATGTGAAATACACCTTAATAAAATTATTTTTGTTTTCTCTTGTTAATCTGACTTTTGTAACAGTTCCGTTTCTATTGCAAACCGACGAAGGTTATTATTTTCCTCAGCCAAAGAGACAGTTTAATCAAAACTTGTTTGATAGAAATCAAAAGAAATCATTCTTCTACTTCCCTATCACTGGAAGGAAATAAGAACAAAGCTGCAATGGAAGTAAATGTTATGCAGTTGGTGAAAATGCATTTTGTTGCCTGTGCAACAACAAAATGCCTCATAAGGGAGTTGTCATATTTAACATGAAGAAATTAGTGCTCCTGAGTATACTAAACAGAGTCACTGAATATATTAATTTTTGAATGAGGGACTTAATCATTTTTTGAGAGAGAGAGAGAGAAATTTCTGCTTTGGGGCATTTGCTCTCACCACAGAGAGAGATAGAAAGTGAGAAATCACTGCCCTGGGGGATGGCCATGTGGCAGTCCCTTCTCTTCCATTCTCCTCTTGTGATTTTGGCATGCTCGCACACATGCCTGCCATGAGTTTGAAGCCACCATGGTCGGCTGGCTCCTGAATGAGGGACTTTAAACTGATAGCTTAACTACCTAATTCAACCTTCCCCTTGTTTAGTAGTATATCTCAGAAATCTAATGACTTTAGATAGGGCACAGACATTCTGGTTAAACCACAGATATTCCTTGCTGATTTACAGTTGGTCTGATTTACATATTATCAGTTTAGCTCTTCAAAACTAGAATGTTGCCTTTTTTGCAGCCTTCTATAGTTAAGATGGAATGAATTTTGAGCTTTGAATTCTAATATTTGTAATTCCTGTGATAGCAGTTTTATGCAAAACCAAATTATCTTATTGAGAAGAATTTTTAAGTGAACCAGTATATTAATGATTTAAATGAGCTGTATTTTGTAATGGGCTAATAACTGCTGAAATTTAGTTCAAAACTCATTACTGTGGACATCATGATAGCATTCTGTGAAGTAAACATAATTTAGGGCATGTAAAAGATGACCTCGTACTTTGACTATAATTCGTAAATTGTTTTCTGTGAAAGTTAGGTATATTTATTTAACTTCACTATAATACATGTTTGTTTTAAAGTATATTCAAATATACATTTATTTAGATAGCAAGTTTTATGATTTAGTCACTATACCTGTGTGGTAAATACTTAATTGTAGTCACATATGTACTTTTTAAAAATATAATGCCATTAGATTAGCTACTTTTTAGTACTTAACATATATTCTAGAACATCAACTTAAGGAAAAGTTAAAAATATGTAAGTGAACACAACTTTTCTGAGCACTGGAGAGAAAATTATCATGAAAATATTACTATCAAGTCCTTTTTTTTTGTTTTTCTTAAGAATTAAATTATGATGTACGTAATGAATGGCTCAGAGTTAGAATTCTAGCTGTTGCCAAGCAACAAAGGCCCTGCTTTCTTTTTTTCTTTTGCCCTATTACTTTACTGCTCTTACTTTTGGTGGAGGAAAAAAAAATTTACCTAAGATAATTATAATAAACCTACTCTACCAACATTTAAAAAACTGAATTTGTAGTTTTATGCCAGATCAATCCTAATCTTCAGTTATTGGAAATATAATAGTTTATGTAGTTAAAGAGAAACAAGACATCTGAAGTGCTTAATTTAGTCATCAAAAATTCTAAAGAGAAAAGCCATGAACATGGAGGTGGAGAACAGACCTGGAAAGATAAGTATCCCTGGAAGGTCCATCCTTCCAGGAGCAATGACTGTTGAACACAGAGATTACCCACACTACTGTGATTTGTTCAGAAAAATGAACATGCCTTTTGTGAAAGGATTTGAGGACAGACATAACTCTAACAGATTCGAAAAGAAATTCAACACTACTTTTCTTAAATTTCATCCGTATCCCCCTTCAGTCTTGCCAGGCTATCATTTATACTATCCATATCCCCCACCATATGGGTCAGAATACCCATTATTTCCACTCAGGGATGATGTGCCTTTAGGTGATTCCTGTTCGGGGCTTATGAGTGCTGGTGGTGATGCTGATTTAAAGCCTGGCATTGGCAAACGCATACCAAACCTAGTGAGTTTCAGTGATGTGAAACCTCAACATCGAGTACCCAGACCAGACACAGGATTTCAAACAACAATAAAAAGGCAAAAAATTCTATCAGAAGAACTTCAACAGGACAGGAAATGGAATTCCAGGGCAGTACCAGATGTTTCCATCAGAGCAAGACTTGGAGGTAAAGAAAAAAACATAGATGTTTTATACATCATCAAACAGAGAAGAGGATATATATAAGATTTAGTATTTTAACAGTTAAATTAACATAAAATTATAAATAATGAACAAGATGCTCTTTTAAATTACAGATTGTAAGGAAAAGATAGAATAGTTTTGATAAACATAAAACAAAACTTGATTTTTTTTTCCTAAGGGAAAAAAAAGGTATTTAGGACCAGCAGGTAGTACAGAGACTTGATCCCACATGACTAGTGGTGCAGTTCAAATCCTAGACCCAGCAACTTGAAAAAAAAAAAATCACACCAGGCACATTTGTGTGCAGGTCCAAAATCCTGAGAAGAGTTTGGAAAAGAAGGGATTTTGACATGGCTACCCTCCCTGGAGCATGGGAGTGATATCTCTCTCTCTCTCTCTCTCTCTCTCTCTCTCTCTCATCTCTCTGCCAAGCACATACACCCTATAGCAAAAACTAAAAAATAAAAAGAGTATTAGTTTAAGTGACTAACACAGGATGTAGTGCAACAGATAATCTATTCTAGATATATGGATAGCCTTATTTTAGCACAAGGGAGTTTATGTATCACTTTAATAATTGAGTAGCAAGCCTTATTTGTTCTCCATAAATAAATAAACCTGTTGGTGGTTATAAGCTAGTTTGCAAGACTGTAGTTAAATGAAAAGGTAATTACAAATAAATTTTGGAGACCCAGTAAGAATTGGAGCTGAGGAGAAGCAATCTGTGCTGAAATAGTTCCACAGTCCTGAAGTCAGAGTTTATGAGCCCTTCCTGACATCAGCACCCTTGATTTCTCTGTAAGAACTCCCTTAGATGGTCACAGCCCTCATCCGGGACTAGTAAAACCTCTTTAAAATAAAATCCTAGGGACAATTTCCTGTATGGAAGTCTGTCTGGCTGGCAAGAAATGAAGAGATTAACGTTTTTTTTAAAGACCAGATCTGGTCATGTCACGATCATCCTGCCTCAACCTCCCAACTAGGTCAAACATGTGCATTCCAGCTGTTCTTTGGACAGCATCTCACAATGTTGCCCAAGACAGCCTGGAACTTGCAATCTTCCTACCTAAGCCTTCTAAGTTTCTGGGATTATTGGTGCATGCTGCAACAATGCCCAGCCTTTAGAATGGGCCAGAAATCCAAACCAGGACGTCTTAGGTTGGACCAGAAATACAACCCAGACCTTCCACATGGTCTCAGTCATCAGAGCATCATGTCTTAGGAGTGTGCACTGCCATAGCTGAGCCAGATGATAACATCCTTGAACATACGAAAATGAAAAGGCCAAATGATACAGTAAAAGATGCTAAGCTTGTTCTGATGCCAGAGGCTGCACCTGCTCTTCCATAGCTCCTCTTCAGCACTCAACCATAGACCAAAGTAATAAGGAGAAAATATTTGGAGAAAGAGAGGCCACCAGGTGTTGGAGTGGTAGAGATCCATGGTTTCTGCCACTTCTGCATGGAGAGAAGCTGGAGAAAGTTAAGAATAGGGAAGAATAATCAAAATGATCCACAAAATTCTCTCCCCAGTCCTTCCTTCCAGAAGGAATGCATACACCTTCTCCTCTTCCCTTTTTTAATCTGAGTCCTATTCAATTCTCAAGATTAGATCTGATGTCATTTTCAGGAGGATGTCCCTAACTCTTGACCATCTCGTTGGTTTAGATGTCCTTCCTATGCACTCCCACAACACTGTCAGCTCAACTCTTACTGCAGTATCATATAATATTGAAATTACATACTTATATGTCTGTATTTTTCATCTGCTCATGGCTACATCAAAACAAAGAACCCTCTATTTCATCTTTGCATTCTTATCAGCTTCCATTTATGGTATAGTAACTACTATCTGAAGGCTGCCTGTACATTTGCTAGTTTCTTAGCACTTCCAATTTATTAATTATCTAGATAGTTACAAAACTCTCTTCGTGTCACCACCATCCCCAGCATGTCTACAGGCATATACACAGATTTATAGTACCCAACAGGTTTCTTCCAATAGGAAGTAATAAATAGCAAGCAATTCTGCACTATTATGATTGTTACCATGTGAATTCCAAAGCAATTCTGTTCTCACTGCTGAGAGATCCAGAAAAGTTATTAAATAACCATTAAGAAAGTCAATTAACAAACCACAGTTTAGCATTTTAATAGAAAGTATTTCTCACGTAAGGAGAATTTTTTATTGTGTTTTTAGCCTAAAACACACGGGTTTTTTTGTTGTTGTTTTCAGGTTGGACAAGCCCCCTGAAAGTTACTCCTTTAGAACCCCAACATGAAGCATGCTCAGTAACTCACACATATGCATTTGATGAGGAGACAACATCCACAGTAAGATTTTCTTATGGGGTAGTGTTATACAATATCTATAAGCAGATTATTTAATTGTCTGTGTGTTTGATGCTTTGTGCTTTAGAAAATAGCTACTGCTTATAAAGTGCTTCTTATGACCCAGACATTGTGTAGACCTTTGCAGTCATTGTACATTATGCACAACATTGTGCTATCTCCACAACATGGCTAAGTAGAAGTGAGGAGTAGATTTGTGTGATGTCCAAACAGGACCCCCTTACTATCAAGGGTGCCCAAATGATGAGGACCCTAGGGATAATCGCCACCAGCCTGAAGGACTACAACTTCCTAGACTGTCCCCCTCAGAGTTGACTAGGGACTGACTAACTTCTTTGAAAAGACAGACTAAAGCTAGTCTCTGGGAGAGTCTGCATCCTCACTAGCTTGTTTTCCCTCTGCCATCCTAGCTTCCTCACTCCCCTTTACCCGAGGGCTCTCCTGCCACTCATCTCTTGAACAACAATCCTGTCTCAGTCTCTCATTCTAAACTAGATACTATTGTTCCTCTCATGTTATGAGAAAGCCAGGATTTGGTGATATGAAGTAACTGACTTTTGATCAGACAAAAGTAAATATAAAGCCAAAATTTTAACTTAGATATTTTCTGAGTTTAAGAATTAGAAGTTATTTACATTTCCTAGAGGAAAAATGGAAGTACTATTATTAGTCTTTGATTAAACAAGTATTTACATTGTAGTTTATAAGCACTGATCTAATAGAAAAACATGAAACAGAACAATGGGAAATCAATCCAAAGAAAGACAGATAAAAAAATGCTTCTCAAACAGAGAGAACAGGGGAACCAGCAGTTAGTGTAATGGCTATGTCGCTGGACTCCCACGTAGTTGACGGTGGTTCGTGTCCCAGACCCGGTGGCTTAAAACTCACGCCGGGCGCGTGTGCGTGCATGCCCAAGATCCCGAGAGGAGAATGGAGGAGAAGGGATTGCGGCATGACCATCCCCCCTGGGGGGTGCTCGCTTTCTATCTCTCTGTCTCTCTCTATCTGTCTGGCGAGCGCACGCGCTCTACAGTGAAAATCTCTCCAAAAAAAAAAATAAAAGTTAGTACTTTTGATTTAGACATAATCTATTGATAAATCAGCACTTATTTTAAATGTAAATGTTAAAATATTCCAGTTAAAAAGAGATTGTCAAGCTAAATTAAAACAAAACACCTGTACATGTTTACTACAAACCAAAGAGCACATAATGGTTGCAAGTAAAATAATGAAAACGTTATGGCCTACTGCATACCTAAGTTATATGGTGTAGCCTAGTAGAATCTTACGGAACCATTGTCATATATGCAGCCTATTGTTGATCTACATGTGATGTACAACTGTAAACGCAAAACTGGTAAATTGGTAAATTCTAACCACCAAAGCATATAGTTTTTAGTTAGTTAAAAGTAAATAATACATTGGTTATATCTACAGTAATCCAACTCTGACTGTGACAATTCTGGAGTTTGAGATTAGGAAGCATACTTCTAGAACTGTCAAACACTGAGCTGCTGCCATAAATTCTCTGTCATTTTCAGATATATTAAGGCAATAAATAAATTTTTTAATTAAATACATAGCTGAGCTCCAAAGCAAGAAAGGAAAGGGAGTTCCAGATGTCAGAAAAGAAAACCAAATCTGATGCTAAAAACGTTGCTGGAGCGTACATCAACTTTCTCATAGATGCATTTGTGGGTAACAGAGTCCCAAATATGCTGTAGATTTAACAATATGAAGTTCATTCTCTTTCATAGAATAGTACAAAGGTCCATGACGCTTTTCTGCACTCTATCTTCTTGTACAAGTACATACATAGGTACAGCTTCAACTTACATGGCACAAGAGTGGGCATAGTCTGTCAGAATGAAAGAGAAGTCAAAGAGATACACACTCTAGCTTTAAGCCCTTGTCCCAGAAAATGCACAGAGAACTTTACATCATTTAGGCAAGACTCAGCAAAGAACTAGTGAGAAGGAATTACGACTTGTCATTAAACTGAGGTCATGGACTAACATAAAGAGTGGGTTTCTTTTACTCTAGAAATGAGAAATGAAAGTTGATCTGTCTGGAGTCAAGTAGTACTAGGACTAGGATTTTAATACCTACAAAGAAAAGGGAGTAAAGTCTCAGAATCCCTCACAGTAGACACTGGGAATAAAGTTTACTACATAAATTCAGGTGCCCAAAAGGACTGTCTCATAACAAAATAAGAATTTGAATACAAATTTACTCACAAAAGAGACATTGGCTGCTTGACCAAGGCAATGTATTGGAAAATACAAGATACTAGCCATGAAAAATTAGAATTTCATGTCTGCACCAGGTGGACATGCAAATTATGACTTCTTAGTATACATGTAGTGTGGGAACAATAAGTCATCAAATTTAAACAAAGCAAAAAATCATTGTGGACTTAAAAATAATGAACAACTGATCTGAGGTGCAATTTCCACAAAGCGGGACACACAAAGTCAATGAAATAGAGAATATATGAAAGAGAAAAAGTGTAAAAATCCAGAACTTGTTTCCCACTTAAGTGTCCACCAACAGGTGGATGAATAAGGAAAATGTGGTGTGTATAGATGTACATTAAGATATTATTCTATCATTTAAAAATAAGTGAGACGAGCAGGTGACATGGTGATTAAAGTGCTAGACTCCAACATGGCTAACCTTGGTTCGACACCTGGACCTGGCAGCTTGCTTTTGCACTTTCCTTTACTCTCTCTCTTTCTGTGTGTCTCTTTCTAGTCAAATTAAAATAAATGAATAAATAACAAAATTAAATTAAAAAAAGAACAAATTCTGAGATTTGCAACAGAGATGAACCTGGAGAGCTTATGTTATAAGCCAGGCACGGAAACAGGAATTCTGCATAGAAACAGAGTAAAACAATGGTTACAAGAGTTTAGAGGTAGGGGGACCAGCAGTTAGCGTAATGGCTATGTTGCTGGACTCCCACGTAGTTGACTGCAGTTCAAGTCCCGGACCCAGTGGCTTAAAACTCACGCCAGGCGGGTGTGCATCCGTGCCCAAGATCCCGAGAGGAGAATGGAGGAGAAGGGATTGCGGCGTGACCATCCCCCCTGGGGGGTGATTTCTTGCTTTCTGTCTCTATGTCTCTCTCTGTCTGGCGAGCACACGCGCCCTATAGTGAAAACCTCTCCAAAAAAAAAAGAGTTTAGAGGTAAAAGAAATGGGGAGAGACTGGTCAAAGGGCACAAACTTTTAGTTATGAGTAAGTTCTGGGGACTTAATGTATAGTGCTGTGACTATAGTTAATAATATTGTAGTGTTTACTTGAAATTGTTAAGAGAACAGATTTTGTGTGTCATCACCACATATACATACACTCATCTGAATGTAAGTGGTGTTGAATGATATGAGTGGTGTTTTAATTAACTTAACTGTGCTAGTAATTACACAATATGTATATCAAAACATCATGTTTTATACCTTCAACATATAAAAATTTTATTTCTCAATTAAAATTTCTTTTAACAAAGCAGATTTTTAATTTCAAAAGAGCAATGAAAGTGGTATATCTCTAATTTCCATCATAAAAAAGAGAGAGAATGCATATTTTCAATGTAAGAAATTAAACAGGGATTATTATTATTATTATTTTTTGAGAGAGAGGTTTTTGCTATAGGGTGCATACGCTTGCCAGACAGACAGAGAGAGACAGACAGACAGAAAGCAAGAAATCACCCCCCGGGGGGATGGCCACGCCGTAATCCCTTCTCCTCCATTCTCCTCTTGGGATCTTGGGCACGCACATACACGCTCCCGGCATGAGTTTAAGCCACCGGGTCCGGGACTCAAACCACAGTCGACTACGTGGGAGTCCAGCGACATAGCCATTATGCTAACTGCTCGTCCCAAACAGGGATTACTATGACCCTAAAAGAAAAATAAGAGAATATTGCAAACTTTCACAATTAATTTGGCACCTTAGATGAAATGAATAAAATCCTTTCAAAATACAACCTACCAAAATTGATACTATTAATAGATGAAATAGAATTAGAAAATCTGTTGAAAAAAAATTTTTTTTTAAATCAAAAACTTTCCCACAGTGAAAACGTCAGGCCTAGATGGTCTCACTAGTGAATTTTATCAAATATTCTAGAAAGAAATATATCAGTCTTAAGTAAGTTAAATACAAATATATACATACATACATTGTATTATTATGTTTATATGGAGCCCAAAAATGGTCAGAGCTTACCTTTACTGTTTTAAGCCTGAACAGTGACTTCCCGTAGAAGAAATAGTCACTAGAAATGTGGTCAAAGGGAAGTTTCTGGGATACTAATGATATTTTGGTTTTCGACAAGTTTTGGTTAAGCGATATGTCTACTTTGTGAATTCATAACACTTCATACTTACAAATTGTATACTTTTGATACTGAATAAAATAAATGACTAAAATATATTCGAGTAGACATCAGATAGGAGTCTAGATGTCAATATTTCCATTATGGTTAATGCTTATAATTGTATGTCCTGAAAAGAATAAAATTATTTTTGATTTAAAAAAAAGAATTAGGAATCTAACTTAATCTAATATAACAAGTCCAGCCAAAGATACAACAAAAAATATAATAATACAGATTAATTCCTCATATTCAGAGACACAAAAATGTTTACAAAGTACTAGCAAATCAAAAATAGTAATTTATAAAAAAGATGGTATATCGTGCTCAGGTACATCTTATCTCAGGACTACAAATACTCATTTAACCTTCAAAAATCAATCAGTGTAGGGGCCAGCAGATGGTATAATGATTACCTAGTTGTATTCCCACGTAATCGACTATGGTTTGATTCCCAGATCCAGCAGCTTAAAACTCATGCTGGGCACATGTGCATGTGTCCAAAATCCTGTGAGGAGAAGGAAAGACAAGGGATTGTGGTATGGCCATTCCCCCTAGAGGGTGATTTTTCACATTCTCTCTCTCTGTCTCTTGAGCAAGGGCATGTGCCCTATAGCAAAAATCTCTCTCTAAAAAGAAAAATCAATGTAATTCAACATATTAATAAAATAAAGGAGAAAACTAATTATTTCATGCGATATAGCTTTGATGAAATTAAAAAATATAACAACAAGGTTTAAATATAGAATAGAAACAAGTGAAAAGGAGGTAATAAATAGGCAAGTCATAGCAGTAGAAGAGAAGAGGTGAAGTGATGCAAAAATTAAGACTTGGAAAACAGAATGAGAGATTTCAATATTTGTTGGCTAGGAATTACAAAAGAACAGAATGAAGACAATTTATTGACAAAAAAGATAAAGATGGAGAACTGTCCATTTGATGTAAGCCATGAATTCTCAGATCAAAGAAACATAAGTCTTAAGCCAGATAAACAAAATACATATCCTGTCCTAAACAAATTATATTGAAACTATAGAAAAATCAGGAGACAGTAGATATCCTAAATGTAATGGGATGAGGGACTAGAGGCAAGGGTAGGGGAGATTCAAAATATCCGTGAGTAAGTAAAGTCATATACTTTTAAAAGCAATACAGTTCAGAAGTCAATGAGAGATACCTGTTAGATTCATAGCTAGTGAACGAGAATTCAGTATTATTCAAAAGAGAAAGTGAGTTAAGAGCTGGAAGATCACATCCTTATACGAATTACCAAAAATTGAACTTTGATAAAATGAAAATGGAAACAAGAACATAGGGGTGGGAGTAGTAGGATAAAAGAAACAAAAATAGACAAAGAACTGGAAAAATAACATCAAAAATCTAAGTGGTAACCTATAAAAATAGTAATCATATGATAATACTAGCAAATAAGTTTCCTAAAATAGTATCATAATAATAATGATTATAATAATAATTATCTTTGCAAAATAAGGAAGGGAGAGAGAAGAGTCTCAGAATTAAACTCCTATATTATTAGAACAAGACTTTTAAAAATGTTTTCATTACAAGGTGCTAAAACAGATCATTTGACAATGTGTAAAATTTAAGAGACTTCTCATAAAACTCTTATTTTCCATTAACTTTAATACAAACTGTGTACATTTTAATTTAAGCTTTATAGGACTATAAAAAGAATGTAAGTTTCCAAAAACAAAACAGGGAAAGTAGGTGCCTTGGTCCCCTTTTGCTTTGCTAACAGGATTATCTGAGAATGGAATGGTTGGTTGGTTGGTTTATAAAGATAAAGGGTTTTTATTAACTCTCAATCCTGGCGCCCAAGAAGTCTGATGGTGCATCTGGCCAGTCAACACACCGCATGGCCTAAGGAAGCACAGAGGATGGTAGGCATGAGCAGAGAGAGAGAGCTTCAGGAAATTCCCTCTTTTATATCAACAACCCTCATGAAAACTAAACCCTTCACACAGAGACAGGACTCACTGGTTCGGAGACATCTCTGGCCTGTTCAGGGGAGTGCTGCCTCCATGACGCAGTCATCATGATCCACTCACTGCTCCCACGGCCTCGCTCCCTCCCAACATCAAGTTCAAAAACAGGAAAGTTTGGGAGACAAACCACCATCTACACCATGACGGTAGGGAAGTATTAGATCTAGACAATGTGAGAGGTCCTTGGGAAAAAATTAAGAAAGAAGAAAAAAGAAAATGATGACTAGTAAACAATAGCAACTCCTATTTATACATGGTCTCTTTTAACTTATTATTCTCCTTGCCTTCTAGGATGAGAGTGAACAGTCCATTCAACCAATTAAGAAATACAATACAAAGGAGTCATTTTACAAGTCCTCTACACAAAAGTAAGCATTTTTTTCCAATAGAATTTTGATTTTAAAAGATACTTCACTATCGTCATTGGCACATCTTTTTTGTGTCTACAATATCCTGGGTCCTGAATGAGTAGCTCAGGGAAAATGACACATAGGCATTTACGTAATCCTGTTGGCTGCTAAAATGAATGTCAAAGGGGAACAGCAAGTAGTGTAGTGGTTATGGCACTAGACTCCCACAGAGCCTTCCGCAGTTTGAGTCCCAGACCCAGGAACTTGAAACTTACTCTGGGCACACGTGTGCATGAGCCCAACATCTCAGGAGGAGAATGGAGGAGAAAAGATTGTGGCGCAGCCACCCCCCATGGAGGTGATTTCTCACTTTTCATCTCACTGTCTCTCTGTATCGCTCCTCTCTGGTGAGTGCATGTGCACTGACAAAAAACTTTAAAAAGTAAAGTAGATCAAATAAAAATGTTTAAAAAGTCAAGGAAGAGTCTTAAAGAACATCTGTGTTTCATAAAATAATAAAACAAAACAGAAAGGAAGCGGTAAGAGAGGGCAACAGATTAAGTGTGCAGTGCCCCAGAAAACGAGAAGGGAGATGGCTTAATGGAGGAGAATTCATCCAGTCACTTGGCAACTACACTGAATACCGGTTATGAGTCTGTGTCCCAAGTTACACAACGCAACAGTGAGTGAAGCAAACCAGACCTCTGCTTTCTAGGAGCTCTCTCCACAGGAAGAGAGACAGTAGGCAAGAAAACATGGGAAGAAAGTAAGTAGAAGGTGATAAATCTATTAAAAAGAATAAAACTAAAAGGTAGAATGAGACAAGATCAGGAGTGCAATATTTGGAGCCATGGTTTCATTTTCTTGTGAAGGTCCAATGAAAACTTTTTGTGAACCTTAAGTTGTATAAACATATGCCTTGGTTTTCTACTGCTGTGTGACAGATTATCACAAGATCAGGAGGCGTTATCTGTGAAGGAGCAACCATGGAGGCATTTGGAGTGACTGTTTCAAGGTGAATGCGGAGTAAATGCCCCATGTCGGAAGTGTGCTTAAAGCGCTGAGGCAGAACAAGAGTCCAAAGTAGCTAGAAAAGGTCAGAAAGAGGGAGAGTAACAGAAGAAGTTCAAGAAATTCTAGGAACTAGGTCGTGCAAAATATGTTAAGAGTTGTGATTGGGACCAGCAGATGTAGTAATGGTTAGGTCGCTGGACTCCCATGTAATCAACCTCGGTTTAAGTCCTAGACCTGGTGGCTTAAAACTCACTCGGGGCATGGGACCAGCAGTTGGCATAATAGCTATGTTGCTGGTAGTTGACCGTGGTTTGTGCCCCAGACCAGGTGGCTTAAATTCACATGGGATGCGTGCTCATGCCCAAGATCCTGAGAGGAGAATGGAGGAGAAGGGATTGTGGTATGGCCATCCCCCTGGGGAAATGATTTCTCGCTTTCTGTCTCTTTGTCTCCCTCTGTCTTTCTGGGGAGTGCTCCTGCCCTATAGGAAAAACCTCTCAAAAACAAAAACAAAACAAACAAACAAACAACAACAACAACAAAAAAAAAACAACAAGAAACCTCGCTCTAGGTGTGTGGGCATGCATGCCCAAAATCCTGAGAGGAGAATGAAAGAGAAGGGATGCAGCATGGCCATCTCCCCAGGGTGGTGGAGCGGGGTGTATATGATTCACTTTCTGCCTCTCTGGTGAGCACTCAAGCCCTATAACAAAAATCTCTCTAATAAAAAAAAAAAAGTGACATGACTCTGAGTGACATAAGGCTTTAGCAGAGAAGTGGCAGCATCACACTTCCATATGAGAAGTAATCCAGTAGCTGCCATGTTCTAAGTAGATTATGCAGGAGGTGGAACCAGGAGACCTGTTAGGGGTTTACTGCTGTCATTCTAGAACAGAGATCATGGTAGCTTGGATAGGGTGATAGTAGAGGAATTTCTATGTAGTAGTTACCTTCTGGATTTATGTTGAGTGTTGAACCAGTACAATTTCCTGGTTGGAGATATTAAACTGAAAGAAGGAGGAATCAAGAATGATTCTAAGGCTTTGGCCTATGCAGCTGGATGGATGAACTGAAGTTTATCATTATATCACAGGATAAAGAGAGGCAGGGCAAGTATTGGGGGGAAGAGGTCAATTTTAGGTTTATTGGACATAAAAATGCCCATTTCACATGCAAGTGGATATGTCAAGTGAACAGTGGGTTATATAAATCTGCAGTTGGGAGAGGTCTGAGCTAGAGGAATATACCTGAGTGTCACAGCTTAGAGAAGAGTACGTAAAGCCATGGCTCTGGATGGTGACGAAGGAAGGTATAGTCAGAGAGGGGAAGAACACTGAGTCTTGGCAATTTCACATTTAAAAACAAAAAAGAAGAAAGAGGACCAGCAGGTGCATGGTGGTTAAGGTGCTGCATTCGCACATGCCAACTGTAGTGAGTCCTGGACCCCGGTGGCTTGAAAAATCACTCTGGGAGGAGGGGGGGGTGTCCATTTCCCAGGAGGAGAAGGAATTGCAGTGTGACCATCCCTCCTTGGGAGTGATTTCTCAGTTTTCCTCTTTTTGTCTGTCTCCAGCAAGTACATGCACCTTATGGCAAAAACTTAAAAAAAAAAAAAGGAATTAGGAAAACAGACCAAAGAAGGAGCAATCAGTAAAGTAGGAGGTAAATGAAAAGCGTCTAGTGACTAGAAGACCAATTCAGAAAATGTTTTTCCAGGAAGGAGGGCATGATGAACTTTTTTCACATCAGGCAATTAAGTAAGGTGAGGCTTGGAAATGGGTCATGGGATTCAGTTCAGCAGAGCGAAAGGCTGGAAGCCTTGTCTGCATGGCATGGAGAAATGGAAGGAGAGGAAAACAGAGGCAGCAGTGAGAATAGAGAAGGAGCAAGATGTGTATCCTGCAAAGCACTTCACATCTGCCCACTATCCTTGAGCACTGTAGATACGCTTTAGATTTCAACTTTATTTTTTTCCTGTGCAACTTGAAGGCATAAACATGACCAAATACAGTTTCACGAAATACACATACAGATACTTACTATCCCACAGAGTTTATGAAGATAGGAAGGATTACATGACACAAAGTTGGATTTCAGAGTTTTAGAATAAGCTGAGAAAAAGAGTACTGTTTGTTTGCAGTCTCAGGTTCCGATGATAAGGCTCCAAAATTGTCTCCTTGCTAGATATGGGACATTGGCATCCTCCAATCATTTGGCCCTCAATTTTCTCAAATTAAAAACACAAAGCAATAACTACATTGCCTCTAAGCTTCTCTTAGGTTTTGGGGTACATTGCTTCTTGTATTCTTATCTTGATTTTTATCAGAAAAGAAATTCCAATGGTCATTTTAGAAAATAATATTTTGGTGAAGTTCATGATCCTTAGGATATAGCAGTGTTTTAGGAAACAAAGTACCAAGTCATAATATGTAGTAGTCTCTCTTTATAAAAGCTTATAACCTCCATGTAACATTCTATTAAATGTTCATAAAATTTATTAGAGACTCAAACAACTAGACGTCTTTCAAGCTTTGATTCTACTCACAGCTTAATTGCTTAAGTTGGTCACATTTCATGTCAGAAAAATGCAACACTGATGTCTCTACTATAATTAAAATATTGTATTATTTTTAGCCTGTCTTTAAAATTAAAAACATTTTATTTGATTTGGCAGTTCTTTCTGGCACAGTAACTTTAGAATCAGTGTGTTTAAAATGAATTCATACATACAACAAAAACATGATGGACCCATAACTGGACTATTTAACATTAATCAATATCATGTTCTTTAAACTTTACAATATTCCTATGTGGTAAATACAATTTTTACTTTAGCTTTTATTCACTCTTTTCTGCTAAATACCTAGCACAGGTCCAGAAATATAGTCTTTCTGAATAAATATTTGTAGAGTGAATGCTGACTTTGACTAATGGGAATTATTTGAAAGGATATGCTTTGCCTGCAGAATGAAAATTGCTCTAGTACAAGTTTGTATAGAGCAGGGGAAGGATTTGGAGACCCATTTACTCTGTCAAAGCAGTCTTTGGACTAAGGTTGTTTCAGGATCAAATAGGAGTTGATTTCACTGAATCTGTTACGTATGTCTGTCAAAAAAAAAAAAAGTAGCAACTATGGGACCAGCAGTTAGTGTAATGGCTATGTCATTGGATTCCCATGTAGTCGACCACAGTTCGAGTCCTGGACCCGGTGGCTTAAACTCACACTGGGTGCTTGTGCGTGCATGCCCAAGATTCCGAGAGGAGAATGCAGAAGAAGGAACTATGACGTGGCCATCCTCACTGGAATGTTTATTGTGAAAAAACTACCCGTAGATTTCAAAACTTTTTTTGCCAAAATAAACTTTTACTTTAACAATATTTCTCATGAATTTTTTGAAGTTCACATTTAGTAGGCTGTCTAGAGTCCTTGTGATGATTCATAAAACTTGGTTGCATTACTGGGGAATGAGAAGATGTCTCTGAATCTTTTAACATTAATCAATATCATGTTCTTTAAACTTTACAATATTCCTATGTGGTAAATACAATTTTTACTTTAGCTTTTATTCACTCTTTTCTGCTAAATACCTAGCACAGGTCCAGAAATATAGTCTTTCTGAATAAATATTTGTAGAGTGAATGCTGACTTTGACTAATGGGAATTATTTGAAAGGATATGCTTTGCCTGCAGAATGAAAATTGCTCTAGTACAAGTTTGTATAGAGCAGGGGAAGGATTTGGAGACCCATTTACTCTGTCAAAGCAGTCTTTGGACTAAGGTTGTTTCAGGATCAAATAGGAGTTGATTTCACTGAATCTGTTACGTATGTCTGTCAAAAAAAAAAAAAGTAGCAACTATGGGACCAGCAGTTAGTGTAATGGCTATGTCATTGGATTCCCATGTAGTCGACCACAGTTCGAGTCCTGGACCCGGTGGCTTAAACTCACACTGGGTGCTTGTGCGTGCATGCCCAAGATTCCGAGAGGAGAATGCAGAAGAAGGAACTATGACGTGGCCATCCTCACTGGAATGTTTATTGTGAAAAAACTACCCGTAGATTTCAAAACTTTTTTTGCCAAAATAAACTTTTACTTTAACAATATTTCTCATGAATTTTTTGAAGTTCACATTTAGTAGGCTGTCTAGAGTCCTTGTGATGATTCATAAAACTTGGTTGCATTACTGGGGAATGAGAAGATGTCTCTGAATCTTTCGAGGCAGATCTGGATTGAATTCTGACTTCAACTATCAATAACTAAGTGACCGTAAGCAAACAAAATCAACGTTCAGAGCCATACTTTCATAGATTTTGTTTTGTTTTGTTTTTCCATAGGATGTGTTTCCCCACAGTAGAGAGACAGATAGAGAGAAAGTGAGATTTCACCCCCTAGAAGGATAGCCATGCCATAATCCCTTCTCTTACATTCTCCTCTCAGGGGTTTGAGCATGTAGGCACACCCACCTGGCATGTTTTTCAAGCCATTGGATCCAAGACTCAAACTACAGTCAACCATATGGGAATCCAGCTTCTTAATCACCATGCCACCTGCTAACCCCCATGGTTTTTTTTAAAACAGTCAAATGAAAATTTTCTGGAAACTATAAATGCCTATAAGTATATGCATTGTTTTTCTGCTGTATGAGAGATTCTAACCAATTTAACACATTTTATAATCACACAGTTCTATAGCCAGAAGTCCAGGTATGTCCTGCCTGGGTTCATAACTCAGGAGTTTGTCTTCATGGTTGGAATCCAGATGTCAACTGGAGCTAGGTTTTCAGCTCCCAAACTTATCCAGGGTGTTGTCAGAGCTCTGTTCATTGCAGCTGTAATATACATGAGGGGTTTCTTTAAGGGAGGTAAAAGAGCACCTGCTATTTGTTTTGTCTCTTTTTACAGCTCAACATGGTAAGTCAAACCTACTCAGAAAAATCCACTTTTTGAGAAACTCACATACAACTGATTAGGGACCTTAGTTACATATAATTAATTAGCATCCCACCTGCCATATAAAGTCACGTATCACAGGAATGCTATTCCCCCCTATTCACTCATTCTGCCTACTCTCCAGGAGAGGGTATTATACATGGTGTGAACACCAAGGAGCAGGAATCTAGGGGGTCATCTTATCATTCTGCCTAGCTCAGGACTTGATATTGTTATGACTATACCACTTTAATGTGTGTTTTTCATGAAATGTCCCTTTTTAATAATTTTGTAGAGCTTATGAAGTTGTTCCTTGGGACAAGATGCTACCACCAAAACTTGATCCAGAAGAAACCACACTGGAAAAAGCTGCTGATCTCATCTCACAGTGTTTTACACTGAAAAGATATGAAAGGGAGCCAGCAATAACCCAGGTCAGCAGACACCCGAGGGGTATTTTTCTGTGATGCACTGCCTTCCTTACTCCATTTAGGTCAGGCTAAATTCCAAGCATGCATTTACTACTGTTAGTGAAACTTTGTCACCAACAATACTTATCTTTATTGTTAGAATTTACCTAAAGAATCATGTAGAGAGACATTGTATGTCTCCACCTAACATATACTGTCTGTCCGCACTCTATGGTAGAGACTGAAAGACTGGAGACCATATAAGCACTTAAAATTGTTATGGACACTAGAGACAAAGTGGAAAGTGTGTGAGAGAGGAAGAGTGTAGGAAATTAAATTTGGGGTAAAAAATAGAGAGGTAAGACATTTGTGGGACACAGATATGGTTTATTATTTGTTGATAAGGACTTATATAGTATTCTCAACTGGGCTGGACTGAGGTGTATATCATGCTAGGTAAAGTCTCTTTATAATCTAAATGACGTATAGTGACTAAATGTATAAATAATAATTAAAATTAATAATAAAATGCAGTCATCTTCAAGAAAAAAAGTGAAAAAAATTGTAGTTTTAGGATCCATGAAGCATGAATAATTATTTTGACTTTACCTTTTTATTGAGATATAATTTATATACTATAAAACTCATGCTCTTATAAAGTAAAATTCAGTGACTTTTAGTATATTAACAAGGTGTGCAACTACCATCATCACTGTGCACACCTAATTTTAAAGTATTTTCATCATCTCAAAAAAAAGAATCCCTATACCTGTTAGCAGTTTCTCCCCTCCTCCAAGTCTCTGGAAATTGCTAATCTATTTTCTTTTCTTTTTTCTTGAAGAATTATTTTATTTAACTTTATTTATTATTATTATTTTCTAGTTTGATCAGAGAGAGACAGAGAGGGAGAGAGAAGGCAAGTGGGAGGGAAAGCCACCAGGTCTGGGACTTGAATCGGCCATGTGGGAGTCCAGCACCTTTGACCACCGCACCACCTGCCGGCCCCACTAATCTATTTCCTATAGACTTGACTATTCTGTACAATTTTTTAAAATGGAATCACGCACTCTGTGGCCTTTTGCATCTGGCTCCTTATACTTAGTATCATGTTGTTAAGGTCATCTGTATTGTGGCATGTATGAGGATCTAATTCCTTTGGTACTCATGGCCAAACAACATTCCATTGATGAGTATTACATCTTTTGTTGATCTAATCATTTGATAGCCACATGGGTTGTTTCCTCTTTTTGGCATATTATGAATAATGCTACTGTGAACATTCATCTGTAAGTTTTTGTGTGGAATATGTTTTTGATTCTTTTGGGTAGATACCCAGGAGTAGTCTTATAACTGTATGTTTAATCTTTTAAATAACTGCCAGATTGTTTTCCAAAGCAACTTTTATTTCACATCTCTACCAGCAACGTATGAAGATCTAATTTCTCCACATCCTTACCAACACTTTTTATTATCTTCTTTTTAATTTTAATTGCCAGAGAGTGTGTGCATTCATGAGAGACAGACAGAGAGAGAGAGAGAGAGAGAGAAGGCACCCTCCAATGGGCATGGTCATGCTATGGTCCATTCTCCTCTGTTTCTTCAGTCTGTTGGGATTTGGGGCATGCATGCACACATAACATCTGGTATGTTTTTCAAGCCACTGGGACCAAGATTCCAATAGCAGTTGGCCATGTATGATCCAGTTCCCTTAACCTGGAGGCTGCAATGTGTCTTTTTGATTATAGCCATACTAAGGGGTATGAATTGGTATCTCATTATTATTTTGATTTATATTTCCCTAATGACTAAAAATGTTGAGCATCCTTTCACGTGCTTATTGGCCAATCCTGCATCATTCTTGAAAAAAATGTTACGTCTATTTAAATCCTTTACCTATTAAAAAATTAAGTTGTCTTTTAAAAAAAATCATGGACATACATAGTTGAAGTTGAGTTAGGATTTGAAAGTTTCGTAATGATGAAAGTCATTGTTGACTTGCAAATGCCTTAATATTACCCATATTGGAAATTTTCATATATTATTTAAAGACTATCTCTTTATCAAAAGGCATTTGCAAAACTTGTGTTCATTTTGAATATCATGGAAGAATGAGTAAATAATAAGACAGGGAGATGCTTAGAGACCGCACCAGATAACCTATGCTGGTGGCAGTTCTTAGAATAGATGCTGCAATTTGGCTCTGTACTCTTCAAGGTAAATTGGTAAATTATGAGTCGTGGATTGCTATCCGATGTTATCTTTTGTGTTAAGCACACCCATTTGTCAGAAACGTCTATTCCTTCCATTTCTGAATATCAAAAAGAATTAGTCACACCGAATAATTGTATTCATGCTACAGCCAGAGAACTTTCTCTGAATTTCACTTAGTAAACCCACCATGTTTTGTAAAATAAAATCCATACTTCTTAACCTGGCCCATACCCCACTATTTTCCCACAGTCCTCTTCTCAGCCTCATCTGTTCCTTATTTTCTCCCTCTTGCTGTTTGACTTAATTTCCAAAAACCACTCCACACGAGATTCTGTCCTGTCTCTGCTGAGCTCCCTTCAGATTCTCAGGCCTGCATGCTCCGTGTCAGATCTGATGTTTTGCTGTGATGCACTGCCTTCCTTACTCTGTTTATGTCAGGCTAAATCCAACGTGTTTTTCAGGTCTGATCTTGGCTCCCATGTTTGACCTCTCCACACTGATCTGGATGCCCTGTGCTCAGAAAGACCCTTCTGCCTTCATTGACTCCCTCATCCCGCTGTGCCATGTCACCTTGTACAAGTTCGGCCAGGCCCTTGGTTTACTTCTCATAATGAAGTCTGTTTAATATAGAAAATCCACAGGAGTCATAAAGAAAGCAACTATATTGCAATACTGTTCTTAACATGGGTTCCTAAGAGGTCTATTGACCCCAGGAAAAAGCTCACATTATCTTGTAAGATCTCTTCAGTTTATAGGGAGAAAAATAATAATCAAAAAGGAAAATGAGCCAGCAAGTGGTATGGTGGTTAAGGTGCTGGATCCCACATGGCTGTACAGTTTGAGTACCAGACTTGGAGGCTTGAAGATCATTCTGGGTTGGGGCTGGCAGGTGGCTTGGTGGCTGAGAGTGCTAGACGTTCACATGGCCAACCATGGTTCACATGGCCAACCTGGACTTGGCAACTTGCTTTCTCACTTTCCCTCTCTCTGTCTCACTCTTTCTCTCTCTGTCTCTCACTCTGTCCCTCTCTGGTCAAATTAAAACGAATGAGCAAATAAAGTTAAATAAAATAATTCTTGGAGAAAAAAAAAAGAAAAGAAAGTCATGCTGGCTGTTGTTAAGGTCATCTGTATTGTGGCATGTATGAGGATCTAATTCCTTTGGTACTCATGGCCAAACAACATTCCATTGATGAGTATTACATCTTTTGTTGATCTAATCATTTGATAGCCACATGGGTTGTTTCCTCTTTTTGGCATATTATGAATAATGCTACTGTGAACATTCATCTGTAAGTTTTTGTGTGGAATATGTTTTTGATTCTTTTGGGTAGATACCCAGGAGTAGTCTTATAACTGTATGTTTAATCTTTTAAATAACTGCCAGATTGTTTTCCAAAGCAACTTTTATTTCACATCTCTACCAGCAACGTATGAAGATCTAATTTCTCCACATCCTTACCAACACTTTTTATTATCTTCTTTTTAATTTTAATTGCCAGAGAGTGTGTGCATTCATGAGAGACAGACAGAGAGAGAGAGAGAGAGAGAGAAGGCACCCTCCAATGGGCATGGTCATGCTATGGTCCATTCTCCTCTGTTTCTTCAGTCTGTTGGGATTTGGGGCATGCATGCACACATAACATCTGGTATGTTTTTCAAGCCACTGGGACCAAGATTCCAATAGCAGTTGGCCATGTATGATCCAGTTCCCTTAACCTGGAGGCTGCAATGTGTCTTTTTGATTATAGCCATACTAAGGGGTATGAATTGGTATCTCATTATTATTTTGATTTATATTTCCCTAATGACTAAAAATGTTGAGCATCCTTTCACGTGCTTATTGGCCAATCCTGCATCATTCTTGAAAAAAATGTTACGTCTATTTAAATCCTTTACCTATTAAAAAATTAAGTTGTCTTTTAAAAAAAATCATGGACATACATAGTTGAAGTTGAGTTAGGATTTGAAAGTTTCGTAATGATGAAAGTCATTGTTGACTTGCAAATGCCTTAATATTACCCATATTGGAAATTTTCATATATTATTTAAAGACTATCTCTTTATCAAAAGGCATTTGCAAAACTTGTGTTCATTTTGAATATCATGGAAGAATGAGTAAATAATAAGACAGGGAGATGCTTAGAGACCGCACCAGATAACCTATGCTGGTGGCAGTTCTTAGAATAGATGCTGCAATTTGGCTCTGTACTCTTCAAGGTAAATTGGTAAATTATGAGTCGTGGATTGCTATCCGATGTTATCTTTTGTGTTAAGCACACCCATTTGTCAGAAACGTCTATTCCTTCCATTTCTGAATATCAAAAAGAATTAGTCACACCGAATAATTGTATTCATGCTACAGCCAGAGAACTTTCTCTGAATTTCACTTAGTAAACCCACCATGTTTTGTAAAATAAAATCCATACTTCTTAACCTGGCCCATACCCCACTATTTTCCCACAGTCCTCTTCTCAGCCTCATCTGTTCCTTATTTTCTCCCTCTTGCTGTTTGACTTAATTTCCAAAAACCACTCCACACGAGATTCTGTCCTGTCTCTGCTGAGCTCCCTTCAGATTCTCAGGCCTGCATGCTCCGTGTCAGATCTGATGTTTTGCTGTGATGCACTGCCTTCCTTACTCTGTTTATGTCAGGCTAAATCCAACGTGTTTTTCAGGTCTGATCTTGGCTCCCATGTTTGACCTCTCCACACTGATCTGGATGCCCTGTGCTCAGAAAGACCCTTCTGCCTTCATTGACTCCCTCATCCCGCTGTGCCATGTCACCTTGTACAAGTTCGGCCAGGCCCTTGGTTTACTTCTCATAATGAAGTCTGTTTAATATAGAAAATCCACAGGAGTCATAAAGAAAGCAACTATATTGCAATACTGTTCTTAACATGGGTTCCTAAGAGGTCTATTGACCCCAGGAAAAAGCTCACATTATCTTGTAAGATCTCTTCAGTTTATAGGGAGAAAAATAATAATCAAAAAGGAAAATGAGCCAGCAAGTGGTATGGTGGTTAAGGTGCTGGATCCCACATGGCTGTACAGTTTGAGTACCAGACTTGGAGGCTTGAAGATCATTCTGGGTTGGGGCTGGCAGGTGGCTTGGTGGCTGAGAGTGCTAGACGTTCACATGGCCAACCATGGTTCACATGGCCAACCTGGACTTGGCAACTTGCTTTCTCACTTTCCCTCTCTCTGTCTCACTCTTTCTCTCTCTGTCTCTCACTCTGTCCCTCTCTGGTCAAATTAAAACGAATGAGCAAATAAAGTTAAATAAAATAATTCTTGGAGAAAAAAAAAAGAAAAGAAAGTCATGCTGGCCACGTGTGCGTGCATGCCTAAAATCCTGAGAGAATAATGGAGGAGAAGGGATTGCAGTGTGGCCATCTGCCCTGGGGTGTGATTTCTCAGCCCCCATCCCCACCCCATCTGTTGAGCGCATGCACCGTATAACTAAAAGAAAAGAAAAATAAGAAGCGAAAAGAAAAACAGTTTTAATACAAAGCCTGAAACCTGAAATTTCACATAAAAGTTAAAATCAACTAAAGAACAAAAGAAAAAAAATGTATGGTTCCATCAAACTATTTTCTTAAGGATCTCTACATACTTCAAAACATTCTATCTTGTGAAAATTGGTCATTTTGTTACATATTTCATATTGAATTATCTTAATATCCAGAGTCCTTCCCAGAGAAGAGGAGGTGTAGGGCTGGGCGGGAACAGGGGATAGATCTGGGCTGCAGAGTGTAGGCTATGGTGGATCCAAAATAACCCAGTATCTAGAAACTGAAATCAGATCTTTCACATGGACTAAGATCTGAAGGAGGAGGGTAGAGGCAGACTCCAGCTATGAGCAAGCAAACTGGCAGTGGGAGACTGAGAGCAGAGACCAGGAGTCCCTCCTCCACGAGCCCCTGAGATGCCAGGGAGACCTAGAAGGTGCTTTTCGTAGAGAGGCAGGCTGTGAATGGAGAGGCCTGTTAAGGACACTGGAGCTGTAAACTAGAAATAATGATAAACACGCTCATTAAATATCTCTCATTCGTTTTGATGATGATTTTAGATGGTCGGTGGACTCTGGGACAGATTTCAAACAAGATCTTTCTTGGCACCCATCAAACCAATTAATTTGTAAGTTTCATCTCCTGAGGTTCTCCTCACTAGATTTTTCACTAGTATGTATTTTTCATTAAGAATCTGACACTCTGTGTTAGAGAGATGGGTGAGGGGCATATCCTCCAATGGGGAATATTCCAGAGACCCTCAGACTAACATCTCTGTGCCTGGAAAGATGACCCAAACCCAGTTCAATTGCTTAGGGTTGCCTGTTTTCTGTTTTAACCTTCTTTATAATTTAGAATACTAAATGTACCATCACCATTTTAAATTGGGAGTGCTTTATAAATAACTTGATATGAACAATTATAATTGCAATAATCCATGGACTTTATATAAAATAGGTTATAAAATATTTTCCATCGACATTTGTATCATGTAGTGATTGCGTGTTCTACAAATGTTAGAAACAATGGTTCTTATTAGTTATACTTCCCCATATGTAATTTTATACATTTAGTTTAAAAAAAAAACCTGATGTTTCTGTCTTTGTCTATTTATTTTTGCTTTTACCACAACCCACACCTAGGTTGTAATTTCTGTTATTTATTTAAATTTATTTTGAATATTTGGTATACACAAAAATATATAGAGAAGAATATGATAAAAATTTGTATATCTGCTTTATAGCTTCAGAAATTAAATGTTACAGGGACCAGCAGTTGGCATAGTGGCTATCGCTGGACTCTCATGTAGGCGACTGCAGTTCGAGTCCCAGACCCGGTGGCTTAAACTTATGCTGGGCGCGTGTGCATGTGTGCCCGAGATCCTGAGAGGAGAATGGAGGAGAAGGGATTGTGGCATGGCCATCCCCCTGGAGGATGATTTCTCGCTTTCTGTCTCTCTGTCTCTCTCTGTCTTTATGGTGAGTGCACATGCCCTAAAGCAAAAACCTCTCCAAAGGGGGGAAAAAAAAGAAGAAGAAATTAAATATTACCATTACCAACACAACGAACACCCTTTGTGTAATTCTTCCTAAACACATCTACCCTGCAATCATGACTATGACGGATTTGATATTTCACATTTTCATACATTCTTTTAATCCTTTAAAACGCATGTGCTATTGGTAACCCATACACAGTATTGCATTCCTTGTTTATGAACTCAATCTAAGTGGTAACGCACACATATTTATGCAACTTAATACTTTGTTCAGTGTTGCATTTATAAGATGCAGTGATAGAGAGACAGAAAGTGAGAAATCACCCCCCAGGGGGGATGGCCATGCCACAATCCCCTCTCCTCCATTCTCCCCTCAGGATCCTGGGCATGCATGCACACGCGCCTTGTGTGAATTCAAGTCACTGGATCCAGGACTCAAACCGTGGTCGACTACATGAGAGTCCAGCGACATAGCCATGACGCCAACTGCTGGTCCCAAGATGCATACATATTGACAACTGCGTTCCTAGGAGTTCATTTTCTCTGCTATATAGACTTCCATTGAATAGATATATCACAATTTATTCATCTCATAATATTTTTCCTAATTTTTATTGCAGTTGAAACAATGTCCAGATTTATTTATGTACCTAAGTGTAAAAATATTTCAGGGCTTTATATAGATATGAGAGGTCTTCCAAAAAACTCATAGAAAATGTATACTATGAAGAAACTATACATAGATTTCATAAATTTTTGCACCAAAACAACTCATACTTTGATTCTACTTTTCCATGAACTTTTTGAAGTCACTCTGTATGTACTCGTGTCTAGAGAGCTGCATCAAAAGGTGTGTAGTTGTCTGCCTTCTAGATGCTGCCGGATTCTTCTCCAGATGAGTTTTACCAGTGAACTTCCACATTCACCATGCAAACTGCAAGCCCCAGAGATTAGTCCATCTTTTGTCTCCTAATATTTCATCTAATTTTCTAGTTTTATGAAGGTCTATTTGACCATTACCCTACTGTGGAGAACAATATGGCAGTTCCTCAAAGACCTTTAAATAAGGTTAATCTTACACATTTCATTTTATGTGTGTCTAATCACACTTGATTGCAAAGCAAAATACTGATGCTTGCTATAGTCAACAAAACTGAGTTTTTGCTAAATTTCAGTAATGTATACATACATATAACAATGTAAAATATAACAAAAACAATATCAGGGATAACATTTTGAAAATATTTAACAGGACCAGCGGTTAGCGTAATGGCTATGTCGCTGGACTCCCATGTAGTCGACCACGGTTTGAGTCCCAGACCCAGTGGCTTAAACTCACCCCGGGTGCTTGTGCGTGCATGCCCCAGATCCCGAGAGGAGAATGGAGGAGAAAGGATTGCAGCGTGGCCATCCCCCCTGGGGGATGATTTCTCGCTTTCTGTCTCTCTGTCTCTCTCTGGCTTTCTGGCGAGTGCACACGCCCTATAGCGAAAACCTCTCCGAAAAGAAAAAAAATTAACAATCATAGTACTTGTATAACACTAGAATAAAGTGTCCTTTAAGAAGTATTACATTGTTATTGCTAGAAAAAAAAAGTGACAAAGTAGGCATATACAAAACCATAATGCAGTTGGCATACTGGAACTAAAAATTCAAATACTGAAAATATTGATAATAATATTGAGTCTTGTCAGAAAACTTACATTTTATTGAGCCATCTCTGAAAAGAATATGTACTATTTTTGAGAAATATTGTTTAAAACATGGTTTTACCAAATAGATTCCAATGTATAAATTAAGTGGTAGCAATTTAAATAATAGAAACGTTCAAAAAATGTAATATCCTCACTTATTTATGCAATAAGTTAAAATGGTTGCTAATCCCATTTAAATAAATTTTTATAAGATGCAAGTTTTTTAGCACTA